TTCCTGGATGGAAGAGAAACGTCTTCAAACTTGGAAACAAAGTCCAGTGGATTGATTTTGATTTTTTTTTAATGACTCTGACCTGGATGACTGAGGATCTTCACCAGCACATAGAACCAGAGTGATTATTAGGGGAACAGAGACGTAAGCTAATCCGAACACAGCAGTAAATATAGTTGCTAGCCTGCTAGTTATTTCAAATAACTTCTAACATTTGCTTAAAAAATAAAAAATAATCAAAACCAAAGAGGACTTTGACATTTCTAAAAGTGAAGTGGCGGCCTAGTGGTTAGGGCATAGGGCTTTGAATCCTGAGGTTGTAAGTTCAATCTCCCACTCCCACAGACTGCCACTCTGGGTCCCTGAGCAAGACCCTTAATCCCACACTGCTCCCCAAGGGGAGGGATTAAATGCAGAGAATTAATTTCCCTCTGGAATTATTAGAGTATAAAAAAAAAATAATAATAAAAGAAATAAATAAATAAATTTTTTTTCCACCTGTTAACATCAGGTGATGGGTAGTAAAATCCTCAGGATACCATCGGGCTTTTTAAAGCAGTGATAGAATGATTCTATAGGGTATCTGGACCTGGGGATTCAAAATCATCCGGGATTTTGGCCGACAACAGTCCAGCACGTAGTGCAAACAGGGAGCCAGCGGGGGATGGAGCAACTGAACCCCACCGGGTGACGGTAGCCTGGAAACTGGCGGACCCGTGCTTCTCCCTGCCTGCCTTCCAGCCTCCTGAGGACGGGGGGTTGATGGCTGTCTGCTGAGGTCCGGTCCAGTTAGCAGCCCAGCAGCCCCCCCTGAACTGTCCAACATTTTGAAAGCTGTCTTTGGTAAAACGCTTCGAGCAAATGAACAGCTGAGCATCAAACTTTGCAGCGATCTTCTGATAGACTAAAATAATCCCTGCCTGTTGGATCCTTTGGAAGACTGAAAATGTTCCCCTTCCTCCGGTCAGCCTGGAACGCTGCATTTCCTCCCGCGGTTCTGGATCATTTTCTATAGAGAAACTTCCTGCTTTGTAATTCTGTAGCAGTAAACCCACCTGTACGCTAAACAGCTAAACTGCTGTCTTCCATCTGCATCTATTCATGTTCCTGGGCCGTGAACCAGTGGGCTGGTCTGGATGTTCATTTCAGGGCGTGATAAAAGTCCAGGCCAGAACCGATTAAGGCAACGTCCCAGAGTTTACGTCAACTCGTTGCTTCGATTGGATTCACTCGTTTTATGGTGGAAGTTTAGAATTGTGAGATTTGCAGAGAAAGGGGATGATGATGGGGTTTGAACGTCTCTGTACGTCCATTTTACCCACTGAACTATCGTTATTCATCTATGAACATGGAAACTCTGCATTCTATCACCCCTTTAAATTTGCTAATAGGCTAAGCTATCAGAATCAGACATACTTTAATAATCCCGGAGGGAAATTACTTTGGTTACACGCTCCAGATACAAACACATATATATACATATATATATATATATATATA